GAGAATATTCGATGAATGTGTATTAAGTGCAGACGTTGATTTGGTGTTGTGGATAAGAAATAAGAAATTTAGTTTAAATTCCGGCATCCCGCCAAATATAAGAAATTATATTTTTAAAAAAATTATAAAATACTTAAGATACGTGTGTCGGACACGCATGTCCAATTTTTATTAATATTTTTTTAATGAGACATGTTTTCGGGGTGTCTGACACATGTCGGAGGAGTGTCGAACGAGTGTCGTATCGAATATGTGTCGGACACTGCACGTCTCTTTGAGGAGAAGTGTCGGTGCATCATAGACAGATTATCAAATAAGTAGAAATAAAGAAAAAGAAAAATGAGACTATATATTATGCAAATCCAGCCGACAAGATGTTTAAGCTTGTATTATATTACTCTCTGATGCAATCGAGGATTATCATTCTATGTTTTATTTTTCAATGTTTTTTTTTATTTTTCTATGTTTTGGACTCTTTTTTTTTTTTTGTTACCCATGATGGAAAGCAACCAATGAACATGTTTAGGATTGGTGCTCTTAGGACATTTCACTCCTTTAGTTTACTAGTTTTCTTTGGTTTTTGGGTATTTGTTGTTGGGCTGAAATTCTCGTATTGGGCTTGGCCCATTTTCCCTTGGCTGCTTGGTGTTTTAGTTATCTCGGCTGATGGATTCTGCTGGTTGCTTCAGTTTTCGTTTGATGGGCTAGCTGTTTGGTTCTTGGGTTGGTCGTGCTCTCTCTTCGGTATTTCCCATGTTTTGGCTGCTCCCAATGGAGGCTTGGGTGGCACCTTTTTGGGGGGTTGTTTGGATTCCTTTTCCCTAATTATAGGGGGATGTTTGCTGTTGTAAGGAGGTTTTAATGATCTGAAATTGTTTTTAAACCTGAGGTTTTTCTCTTCCTAGCCTAAGATCTACTTATTTCTTACCTATTTCTTCTTCCAGTCTTATATCTATTTATTCTTCCCACAATTATCTTTCCATTGTATCTTTCTTCTCTACATAAAGTGTCAGTGGTGTTGTTGGCCGGTTTGTTGGTATTTGCCAGAGGAGTACCGACGGGTGTTGGATCAAGATTGTGTAGTGGACCCCTGATTTGAATGTTCTTTAGAGCACCTAATTTTTCTAAATTTTATCGATGCATGCAAGGTGACCTTTAAGATTGTTCTGAGGGTAGTGTTTTTTATAATTTTATCTTTTCTTTCTAAGTCCTCTTTTATGTTTCTTGCATCTGTTTGTTTCTTTTTCGGTGGTTTATTTACTTTTTTTTTTTTGTTGAGATATGTTCCGTTTGTCCCTAGTGTTCTCCTTCTTGGCTTTTAAAACTTAGAGCCATCACTCTCTCTCTCATAACTAATTGGATGGCTAATAAATTTAATTCCTCTATAATCATCACAACATTGAAAGTTTCATTTGTTCATGAATATTGGGGCCAAAATTCTTCGCCAATCACTTAGGCATCTCCTTAGACATAAAAATTCTATTGAAGAAATTTATATATCAAACTCCTACAGTATCGTTTATTACTCTACAAATCTCAATAGATATCTCATATGGACTAAAAACTGTACATTTATGCAACCATTTTAGAGCTAAATTCACTTCTTTAATTTCAATCAATCTATAATACACCTCATCATTTTGTTCATTATTTTTTCCAAAATGACTTTTTTTAAAAATGCAAACTTAATGATTTTTCAATATATCATTTTCACCTTTTCTTAATTTCTTAACATTTTATTAAGACCATATTATCTTTGCAAATAAAGCATCCAACTTAATCAAAATCTCCAGATCTTTAATTTCTCGCTTAGTTACTTTACATATTTGTCAATGAAGTACTATAATCATTGTCAATAGAATATGGTCAAAAAGAATAATTTAATAAACAACTCTAAAATACAGCAGCCACATGAGGAATGAGATGGCATATGAATGTTCAAGTGAGATGGATTTCAGACAGCAAAATATACCTTCCTAGGATAAACCCTACTTAAAAGAAAAAATAGCAATGAGAAACAATCTCTTTTTTCAAACCCATCATCATGCTTGGCCCATTTAATTCATTCCAATTCATCAACCAAGTAAAAAGCTGAAATCTTAAGAATAAGGACAAAGGAAATAAAAAGATGACAAAGTCTTACAACAACACAAGGAAGTGTTTTATCCATATGTCAATAATTGTGATTGGAAAATGTCACAAATATCGAGAAAACACATGATTCTGCATATTAGTTTAAAATGCATAGTAGTTGAGCATGATATGACTAATGCAAAGCTTAACATGATGCTTTTAGCTTTCTAAATGTATCCACGTAATGGGATAAAGGCTTGTTGTTGTTTTTGTTGCATGGATATTCTTACTAAACATTTGCAAGATAATGTACCTTTGTGTATGATTTTTGCTAATGATATTATATTTGTTGATAAGACGAGAGGGAGTTAATGAAAAACTTGAATTATGGAGGCCATCCTTAAGAGTCTAAATGTTTTCATTTGAGTATATCTAAAACCAAATACATGAAAGGTAGTTTTAGTAGTAATAGATCTAGCGGTTGGATTGTGGCATTGAGAGATCAAGTTATCAAAAAAAAGTGCACATTTTAAATATTTCGGGTATATTGTTCAACGCAATGGTGAAATAAATGAGGATATTATTAGTATAATTCAAGTTCGATGGTTGAAGTGAATTAATGCATCGGGCTTATTGTGTGATAAAAAAGTATCCCTAAAACTTAAACATAAAATTTTATAAGATGGTGGTGAGACATGCAATGATTATGGCGCAGAATGTTGACCATTAAAAGATAAGCATAAAATTAAGATAAGTGTTGTAGAAATGAGGAATCTCAAGTGCATGAGTAGCTTTCCACTTAATGTCAGAATGCAAAATGAGTATATACGTGAAAAGCTTTGACTAGCCCCAGTGGTAGATAAAATTAGAGAGAATCGTCTTAAATGGTTTGTTCACATAAAATGTCGGCCTTCTGATGACCATGTGAGGAGAGTAAATGTATTAGATACAGTGTTCATTAAGATAAGCAGAGGTAGATCTAAAAAGACTTGATTAAAAAGTATTTAAAAAATATTTTTTATTATATTTAAATGAGAATTTGATTGTTAATAGGACACAATGGAAAAAATGATTCATGCAGTCGACCAAAGGCTTGTTGTTGTCATTGTTGTTGATCTTAATCTCCAACCAAGTTTAAAATTGTGTAATTGGGTATTGAGGTGTTTTCCATTCGTGAGACAAAACGTAAACCTCAATATGTTTTGAGGTGTAAGCCTCAAAATCTAAAAATTGCATAAAGTAAACAAAGATTAAAAATGATTTTGTATATAATACACAAATAATATGTTAAATGATGACATATTAACTTACTACAGAACTATGAAGTAACAAATTGATATATATATATATATATGAAATATTGCATGAAACAGAATGAAAATGGGTGGTGGTGTGCGGTTTCAAAGTGATCCCCTACAATGGCTACGACAACTGTGGTTGCGGCGAAGGCGGCGAGCTGGAGGTCGAGGTAACTGTTGCAACTCAGGGGTGAATAAAGATGTGATTTGCTTGAGAGTTTAGTTTATAATTTAGGTAATTTTTAATAAAATAATATAAAAAAAGGTAAGGCGTATGCCTCACACCAACGAGGCACAAACCTCATAAAAAAATCTTGAGGCATAAGCCTCGAGATATTTTTCATCAGAACTGCGTTGAGGTGGGCCTCAAGGAGAACCCTTATAGCGTAATTTTAAACAATGTCTCCAACTACAACTTTCAAACTAAAAAATGATATAACAATGAAGAGCAACTAATTTTACACCCACATAGTAGAAAATTTATCAATGCTTCCCCAATGAGTCAATATATAAGGATATTTTATTCAGTAAAATCCTTGCCCTAAACCATCTACACTTAGCATCCTGCTTTACGAGAAATTATTCTGTGTGGAATCCGATCACAACGATGTGTTCGGCTGCTTACGTGGAAAGGGTTAAATAGTCAATTAACTTGCGTAAACCTCGTAAACCCGACCC